CTGGAAAACAAATGTTGATTTTGAACAAATTATCTGTTCATCACTAAATCATTTTCTTTCATTATTAGTCTCCAAATTGGTTCTGCTCTGGAAGACAGAATTAGGTTTAAAAGCAGAGTGTCTCTTAAACACTCGCTTCAAATGAAAGTATTCAGTAAACATTACTCAAACCCCCTAGAGCATAAACTCCTCAGCTGCTTTCTCTGGCTTTGCATAGATTTTTCAGCTCCTGGTTCAAAGACAGGTGTCTCAGGGATTCATTGAGGATATCAGAAAATAATCAAATTAAATCCCTTACGATCATATGCCAGTCAAATGCCAAGGAAAATTTTGTTGGGACCTTTCTGTCCTCGTTTACATTAGCATAAATTGGGACAAAATCCTGTGCAAACAGTTAAACCAATATTGAACATGTAAGAGAGGGAAGAGTCAGACTCCAAACCTGCGGCACAACTACAAATCCGTGTGGGCTGCAAGCCCAAGTTTCTCATTGGAAGAGCTACACTTTCCTGTTAGAGTACTTGCACTCATTTCCATAGTTTTAAGTTTAAAAAAAAAACAACCGTACTTGGAAATTATATTTTTACCATTAAAGGGATGGGTTTTGATTAATTCAGCATGTCAGCAAGATTGCAGCTGTCTGAGCTCGTGATTTAGGGTGGCAGCGTGGGGGTCAGCTCAGCTAACTATAAAAACACATGTAGGGCAGAAGAGTCGCCTGGCCGTGGTTCTTAGGAATCGTTTTATCTTCAGATTAGCTCAGCAGTCTTGGGGTTTGGACACATCCTCTGTTGACTTAAAACATTGCTGGCTTCAGCTCTCTGCTTCTCCTCTGGAGGATCCTGCCTCTGGAGCAGAGACGCAGGAGGGGAAATGTGCCTGCATCCCAGCCACTGCCGCTCAGATCCTGCCGGCTTAGTGCAAGCAGAGTGTCCTTCCTTTTTCGGGGTAGGTACAGCTTGTGAGCTGCACCACCGAGGGCGAGAGCGTACGGTACCCCTGGGCAGAAATCTCCAGGGGAAGTGTGGGGCGGACAGCGTGTTAAGCCACCGTCATGAAAGCCACCAGAGCGCACGTGCCAGCGCCCTAAGGCTGTGTGCTGTGGCTATTTTTACCGTAAAGAAATTCTCACAGATATTAGAAGGTCAGAGGGGATCATATCCCAGGTAGCACTATTTAATGTCAATCATTCTTTGCAAGCTTTTTCTCCCCCGTGCAATCTGCAATTCAGTCGTGGAAAAAAACAGTGAGTAGCAGCAGCCTTAACCTTAGGTTCCTCATGCAGGAACCAGCCAAGGGGTGACAGCAGTGGAGGGATCAGAAGAACATTTATGTAAGATGTAGCTTCCCTGCAAACAACAAGCAGCTCAGAAAGATGGTGCAGAGGCTGCTAACCATGAGACCATGCTCATTCCTTGGGCTGCATATGCCTCAGTTCTTCCCTGAAATTTAGATTTAGTTGAGTCAGCCAGGAAATTACGGATTAGTTTAGAGTCTTGAGGGAAAGGTGTTTGAAAAGCAGCGATATGAAGAGACCAGCAAGAGGGTAAGTCATAACTTGAAAAGTGCCACACAGAGGGAACTGTGCCTTTGCTTTATTGAACTATTAGCTGCAACAAATACAGATGAATTCCCTCAGTCTCCCGTAATGTTGTCTCAGTACCATCAGGAGTCCATTTTAGAGTACAGTTACTTGCACAAATGATGATATATGAAGAGTAGAGAAACAGCTGAAGTGCCGCTGCGGTAATGTAAGCAAATCCTAAAAGCTGCCCAAGTCAGCTCGGTGGTTGCGTGCTGCCCTTTGGTTTTGTCAGTGCTGCCTGCCCAAAGCAGTCGAAGCAAAGGAGTTTCTGTTCCAGCCTGCCTGGCTTCACCTGGGGAGATCATAGTCTAGATTTTGTGATCGTGCAGTAAATAAATGGTGACAAAATCAACTAAGAGGATATTCCCAAAGAGGAAGAATTGTTTTTTATTATCTTTTTCCATACAGAAAGCAGTAAGACACTCTATTATAAAGAAGAGACAAGTATAATACAAGAGCTATGAATGGATAATCAGCAAGGAAGACTGAACCTTGCGCTTCTACATCTTACAGCATTAACCCAAATTGCCTGAACTAAAAGGTTAGCCAGTGCTAGAGCCGGGTTGTCAGATCCCTGTGTGATCTATCCACGGTTAGGAGGGCTTGAAGCACTGCTCAGGGGGCCTGTCTGTGGGCAGTGAGACGTGATTGAAGGAGTGGAGACCAGGAATTTTGGGGTCTTCAGCTTTTTTTTGCATTGATTTCCTTATGCCCTTAAACCCTTTCAAACCTCACATCTTGCATATGAGCAAGTTGACCATGGGGGAAGCTCTTGCACCTTGCGTCTCGTCCCAGCATTTGCAGCATAGCAAAGCTGATGTGAAATGTTAGCAGATTGGATTTGTGATGTGTTTTACCACACTGCGCATGAATTTTTTCCACTGACTAAAGCAGGCGTGGGTCTGAACGTCAGCAGGTCCTAAGGTGCCGTGCAATGGGCAGTCAGGCTGTGTCAGACAACTGCCTGAGACGGAGCGTGAATAGTCAACCCACCGAGCTCTGTAACTCCCCTTTCTCTTGCAGACTGGAGTCGCCTACGCGCGCGCTGGTGATGGAGGCCCCAAAAGGCATCGAGATCAATGCCGAGGCCGGCAGTTTGAAGGCCACATGCAGGACAGAGCTCAGGCTGGAATCCAAAGATGGAGAGGTAAGCCAAGGACGTCAAGCCCTGCAGCAAAAGCAAACCAAGCCACTGATCTCCCGCAGATTTGTAGCCTTCTGAGTCACTGAGCTGCTCCATTTGAAACACTGGTGTGAAGGCACTGATGAAGCCTTCCTAGCTTAGTTTCTGCTAGCAGTCATTGAACATATTACATGCAAACAAGCCTCACTCTGTGGCAAAGGCTGATTCATTATTTTTAAAGTGCTTGGATAATAGCATCTGTTGTTCAAGTAGATTTATGTGGCTCTAAAATACACAGTACTTCTAAATTCTTTGTTTCCTTGTCACTTTAAAACAAGATTTACTTCACCAATATAATTAAATCTTTTATCATACATTTTTCTTTAAGAAGACCTTAATTCACCATTATTGATCCAAAAAGCTTTTGTAGCTGATGTTTTCATTTTGGAAAGAAAGGGAACATTAGGAGACACAGGTTGTTGCACTGGGGAAGCTTCCAAAGAGGAAGAGAGAATAACTAAAACAGATGACACAGAACAAAAGTAAGATAGGTGTTGAGTTAAGCCACTTCTGGTGTCTCAAAAATACGTGAGCACATGGTTCTCATGCCTTCCTTCTGCCACAATGACAGAAGACACCGAAGGATGTGGCTGAGGAGCTCTCGCTGGGGAACCCACCGAGAACCTTGGCCGGAGGAGCTTCCCATTGAATGCAAACCTCCCCACAATAGAGCTCCAACATAAGCTAACGTTGTCCTATCTTAGTGTCAGATGTAATAAATAGAATGAGGGTTTTATTGCAATTCCTGTTATTTCTAAACATGTACATTTTAAGACATTCCAAACCTAGATCACAGGTGTTAACAAAAAACCTCTCAAATACACAAAAAAAACCCTACCTACTATACTACATTTGAAATCCAAGACATTTCACTACTGCAAGTACTTGCCTTAATGTTTTTAACACTGAGTTGCTTTTAAAATGCATGTATTGACCTGTCTCTTTCAGGAGATTAGATGGTTGGATACTAAAACTGGAGGCTCTTACTGTAATTGCAAGATAAGAACAAATGCTGTCATTCGCCCTGTAATATTCTGGTGTGCAGGTTATCTTACTGCGCTCTTCTCGGTGATGTTAGAGCACTTCCCTGTAGCTGCCATGCATCTAAGAGCTGCCACATGTTCACTTTTATGTTCTGTTTTATAAGGAGAAATTCAGGTCTGTTACAGCATTTAAGTTATTTTTAATATACATAAAAGTGTTACACGTATACATAAAATATACATAAAAATCAATGCCGTGAGCCTGCAAGCGTAACTGGCAATGAGATCACAGTGCCAGAAGATCTGGTGGAGAAGAGAAGCTGTTGTGTCGACGTGAACCATACACGCTCCCCACCTAGCAGTGGGGTACCTCTGGTTGGGTTAACCCAAACATGGAGGTGCCCCAAGAAGGTACAAGTCGAGAAGACACGGTGGGTAGATTAGCAGAAACAAACTGAAGGTCTTAGGTGGCTCGTGGTAAAGGCAGAATCATACGCTCACCCAGATTTGTACCAGACTTTCCCATTTTAATACACTTGCCTACCCAGGTTTCGTAGCAGCTGAGTTGTCCAAAGGAAGCTTCTTTAAACACAAGATCAAAACCAACAGCTCTCCATTAATTCTCTATCTCTTTCTCTCTCTCTCCCCCTTCAACTTCAGATAACGTTGAATTCTGCAAAAATCAAACTACCTAACTTGCCTCAAGGATCTTCCTCTTCTGCAGGGTCCAGGCAAAAAATCTACGAGCTCTGTGTGTGTCCCAATGGGAGGTTATTTCTGTCTCAGGCAGGCTCTAGCTCAACCTGCCAGATAAATACAAGCGTCTGCCTTTGAGAGACAATTTGCAGTGGGGCATCGCAGGCAGCACAAAAGCCAGTTCTGGTCTCACAGCTGCCAACTATTTTTACTAGAACACAGGAAGCCTATCAAAGACTTTTTTTGTGTGCGCGCGCGTGTGTGTGAATATATATATAT